TAGTTTCTGTCGCAGGAGTCTCAGTGACCGGTCGACGTGTTGAAGTAAATCTTTCTTCACCTTCATATCGAGTTGTAGATTCAGGTGTTGTGATTCTTACACCGAGTACTGTGGTATATCCCACAGTAGTTTCTGGCGCAGGAGTCTCAGTGATCGGTCGACGTGTTGAAGTAAATCTTTCTTCACCTTCAGATCGAGTTGTAGATTCAGGCGTTGTGATTCTTACACCTGGGACAGTGGTGTGTACCGCAGTAGTTTCTTCCCCAAGAGTCTCAGTGATTGGTCGACGTGTTGAAGTAAATCTTTCTTCACCTTCAGAAGTCGTTGTTGATTCTGGTGTTGTAATTCTTACACCGGGTTCAGTAGGGGTCTCAGTGACCGGTCGACTTGTGGAAGTAAATCTTTCTTCACCTTCAGATATCGTTGTAGATTCTGGTGTTGTGATTTTTTGACCGGGGACTGTGGTATAGCCTACAGTGATTGCCTTCGAAGGAATTTCGGGAATTGGTTCAGGTGTGGAAGTAAATTTTGTTGCACCTTCGAGCTCACTTGTAGCGACTTTCATTGTTATATCTTTTGTCGTAGCACGTGTTGCAGCTGTTTGTGTGGTCGTACTAAATGCCGTCGCTTGTGTCGTACTGTCATAAGATTCGGTCTCTTTTTCAGCGACAATATCTGTATAATGGGTACGCATTTCTGTTTGATTGCTTATATACATGGTGGTGTACTTAACAGTTGTCGCAGTCGTGTCTGTACGGTCGTATGATATATGTTTTGTGGTAGTCTCAAGAGTCGAGGGTATTTCAAAGAGTATGGGAATGCATTTGACGGTGGTATTGCCAATAAAACTATCAGCGCAGATACATGTGGCAACGCGATGTGCTTTCACAATACACAATGCAGATTCGGCACACACGACAGTACAGGGATCAACGCATTGCCGCGCACTGCCGCACTGAAGCGTTTCGTCGCAGTCGACATCTTGTGTACAGTTGGCACCAGCCGGTGACGGAGACGTAGCACGAGTTGCAGACGCAGTTGTAGCAGGCGTAGAAGTTGTTATGGCTGCACGAGTTTTTGTGGTTGTAATTTGTTTTTGGTGTTTTTTTTTTACAATTTTGTTAATGTTTTTTATTTTTGTTTTGTTTTGTAATAGAGAATGTAGAATTTGTTTTGTACATTGTGGCGTAGAGTAAATTTTTTACATGTTGATAAGATAAAAAATATGTTAGATATAAAAAATATATATACAGTTGTAGGTAAATAAAATTTTTTTGGGTAAATTTTTGGTTTTTCTTATACTTTTTTGTGTGAGTGGGGGTAAAGTATATACATGGGGATTGCTATCGGCTATCACAGGTTCCAATTGACTAGTAGGGGTGTACTTATTTTACGGTTTGAGGAGCGGGATTTATCAAGGGGTCATAAGTATATTAGTTTTATATTTATATATAAGTAAATATATATATTTATATATATGTATCTAAATATTATATTTAACTTTACGTTGTTTAAGGTAGTAAGTTTTGGGTTTTAATGTATTATATTTAGAATTTACAGTTACTTTGTACTTTTTTTACAATTAGTTAGCTACACTGGTAAACCGTTAGTAATAATTTCGACTGTTGTATGTTACAAACCAAAAATTTTTAATTGCTTACTTAAATTTTTCTTCCAACAAAATATTACTTTGGATTAATTTGCTGTTTATTACATTGATTAATTGCTGTTGTTGTTTATTTTTTAAGTAATTAATTAATTAATTGAACTGGCATGAGCGTGTGTGAATGTGTAGAGGATTTTACTGTTGGTTAGCTTTTGGAGTTACGAAAAACGTATGAAGTTCAAGTTTTCAATGACAGACAAATGTTGTTTTTGTTTTTCTTATATTTTTTGTAATTAATAACTCGATTGGTGGTAAGCGAATTTTCTATTTCAAGAAATAGTGCTGCAAAGCTTTTGCATTTTTTCGTTAGACTGAAACTGCCATGGGCTTTATTAACGTTAATACCGTTTGGCAGAAAAAATATTAAAAAATAAATTTCATTTAAAAAAAAGCTTGAGTTCTCACTGTTAAGCAGTAGATTATATAGCTGTTACTTGCTGATTGTAAGCGCTGTGCGACGCTCGCGGGAAGCAGTTCGTTAAAAACAAAAATTAGTTGGTTGCAGTTGGAGGCGCGGCGCAGCCGCCAAGCGCACATCAAACAAACGTTTATGTGAGGGTGAGAGGCGCGGCGCGCACGGCTTCTGTGGCATTAATATGAGCGGAAATTGTAAGAGTATTGGAGAGAGCATGAGACAGTGAGCACATGTTGTTTTTTCTTAATTTTTTTTTTTTTGCATTTTTATATAACTTTTTTGTTTTTGATATTTTGGTAGTAGTAGTTTTTGTTCACACTTATACAACTCTAGACGATTGCTTTACCTTTTTGACATCCATGTTTGGCATCGGCTATAAATCCGGGCGGGCAGAATTTACATATCGGCTTATGATCCTCGACGATGCATGGCGAGTTGGGTGCGCACGTTGCAAAGTCGCACGGATTGACGCACTGATACGAGCGGCACGCCAAACCCGACGGACAGCCCGCATCGCGCAGACAAATCGATATCGACGGCTGACAATCCTTCATACAAATACAGACTGGCTTGTGATCCTGCACCTCGCAGGATTTATTCTCCGCGCAGATGGGCTGACGACCCACGGGCACCACGCACGGACTGCGGCATTTGCCCTCACTACAAGCCATATTCGAGGCGCAATCATCATCGCGATAGCATTCACGCTTCTCGGGCGCGCACGTCAATTCACCATATTCATTCACAATGAAGCCGGATTTGCACACGCATACCGGTTGGTGGCGGCGTGTTTCACACTTCTTACTGCCGCCGCATATGAATAGCGGATTCTGGCATGGATCGGTACATTGGCCATAGTGACTGCACTGCAGATGGTCGGGACAATCGTTGTCCTGTGCGCAGGGTATTTGTTGTTGTGGGTCACGCGGTTGTAGCATAGTGTCGTCGGTGCACTTTGGATCCGGCTTGCATTCGACTTCGGGTCGTCCGATATAGCAACTGGGGCAGGAGCAACGCGGTCGATGTAGTACGCTCTTGCAAAGCGCATTTGCACCACAAACGCCACGCACCGAACAAGGATCAACGCAGTGTCCTTGCAGGCATGATTTCTCACTGGGACATTCGACGTCTGATGTGCATTGTTCGGTGTCTAAAATGGAATTTGAAGTGGCCGAAAGAGAGAGAGAGAGATCGTGAGATAGAGAGACGGGTTTTTTTGGTTGCTAGTGATTGTTTTCTTGTAAAAAAAAATCCTTTTGTTCTATTTATACATTTCCTCTTACACGAGTGCATATACTGGATTTGAGAGTGGGAGATTTTCGGTAAGAAAAGTAGGCGTGATTTTAATAGTAGCACTCTTGTCAATCAGTGAGCGAGATTAAGGCTTTAAGTAAGCTTTCATTGCTGAAGCTTGTGTGCACAACTAGAAAGAGCGAACGAGTGAGAGAGAGTGATTATGGCAGATTTGATAAGAGGTATAAGAGTAAATGCATGCACATTGAGGGAGTTAGCGCGTTTTTGACAGAGAATTTTGACTTTTTTGCTTCGCAAGCATATGTAGTCAAGAGCCAAATCGAGCGGAAAAGAAAAAAGTGCGCCGGTTTGTGCGCCACTGTGTGGTGGCGTGCTCACGAGTAAATAGAAAGTGTGCGAGCGGAACAGGTATAGTGTATAGTTGAGTGTACGCGTTCGGGAAAGTGGAGGAAAATTCGTGGGTAAAAAAATTGCTGTACTTAAGTAATAAACTTAAACTAACCCTACGCTTAGTGTTTAAACAGGTACGGTGTGTGTTTGTGTGGGTACGGGAAGTGTCGCCTTGACTTTATATTTGGTTGGTTTTTCATTTTGGTGGGTTCCTGTGTTTCTAGGGACTTTAGTGACATTTATAAACTATAATTTGTTTGTCAGTGGGTGGGTTGGTTCCGTGTTTGCTGGCTGCTTGGTACTGTGTGGGTGGGGAGGGATTGTGTAGTGGTTTTTTTTTTGTGGATAGCGGTGTATGCACTTGGACGTTTTGTGGTGTTGTTGGGTGTTTAGGAGAGGATTATTGCGTTTAAATTTGAGGTTAGGTTGTGATATTAGAAATGCTGTGTAAAACTTTGTTTCGGAAACGAAATTATGCTAGATGTGTATGTAATTGTGTGTGCGTAAATTCGAAACGTTATTTTGAAAACGGTATCGTTTAGACAATAATAATAATTTTGAGTTTCTTTTTTCGTACAAAAAAAGTATTGGAAAGTGTTTTTGTTAAATACTGTGTAGGATATTTATTAGTTTTTCTTTGCCTTTGAAAAGGTTGTGCCAATTCATGAAAAATTAATTTATTAAAATATAATAAATTATTGCTTTCGTTTTGGTTTTACAAACAGCTCGTGTAAACATCAAATTAGTGGAGAACTGTGAAGGGGAGACATCTCACATATTCAAGATCGCAGCAAAAGTGTTTTGCTGTTTGTGTCTAATTTTTTTTGTTTTGTTTATTTTCTGTGTTAGAGTTGGATACAAGCGAGTTATTATTTTATGTCATTTTGTTATTTGAGTGAATGATACATACAATTTTTTTATTATTATTTTATTTTTATTTTTGCCCATTACGCGTTGGTTTAATTATGAATTATAATTTTTTATGAAAATTAGTTAATTTTTTATTATTAAGTTTTAAATTTTCTTGGCGCATATTCGTTAAAGCAGTTCCTAATTAAATTGTTTAAATACTATAAATAATGATTTTAAAGTCGTCGCTTAAAATGTTAATTTTTCCAAATAAAAGTTGTCACCTGTTTGAAGTGTTAGCTTAAAATTTAATTTTACACTTTTTTTTTTAAAAGAATGCTAGTTTTGCTTAGAAATTAGAGTTGTCACCCAGGATATTACGTTTCTGACAGTTTTGAAATGAGAGTTGCCACTTGATCATATTTAACAGTTTTACCGTTTAGGAGTCGTTCGGAAAGTTTTCCCAATAATTGGAGAGTTTTTCAAAAATTTGAGAGATTTTCGAAAATTGGCGAGTTTTTCGCTGTGAAAAAATGTTAAAAACCATGTCGAACATTTTCTGTAATTAATATTTTTAATGTCTATGGGATTAGTTTATAATTTTTTGGAGAGTTTGTCGAAATTTGGAGTGCTTCCTTCAGCTTTGAAATAAAAGTTGGCATCTGAACAAATTTTACAGTTTCAACGTGAAACATTTTTGGCTTAAATGAAATTTGGCAACTATTAATACAAATTTGGACAAAACTATGGAGAGCTTTTCTGAAAATTAGGTATTATTTTCGTTCCGCAAAAAAAAATTCTGTAACAAAAGTTTTCAAAACCATTTTCTGGAAGCATTTTTAAAGACTACATTTGTAATTACTTAATTTTTTTTAAAGTTTGTACCGAAATGTGAAGAAATTTTTGCTTCTGCAAATAAATTTTAATTTTTTGGAGAGTATGTCGAAATTTGGAGCGTTTTTCCGGCTTTGAAAAAAAATTTAGAAACAGCTTTGACAATTCCTTAAAGCGTTTTTAACGAATTCGGAATAAGTTTAAACAAATTTTGGGAACGATTTTAAACAATTAATAGTTTTTGACGAATTTGGCATGAGTTTTAAGAAAATTTGGAGAGTTTTTCAAAATTTGGAGAGTTTTACCGACTTTGAAAATAAATTTTCTGGAACAGTTTTAAACAATTATAATTTGTTTTTAAGAACTCGGAATTAGTTTTGAATTTTTTTGAGAGTTTTTTTCGAAGAGTTTTCGGAAATTTGGAGAGTTATTTTAAAGCATGAATCGAACCGATAAAATACCCATTTTGAAATTTTTTGATTTTTAAAATAGTACACAAAATATTTATACTCTTTGAATATGCGCCAAAACCTGTTTTTGAGAAAAAATCGTAGCATTCAAAACCTTAAAAAAATTTAGTTTTTATATAATCTTATTACTTTTTCGGTTGAAAATTCGTACGACATCCAACACATGCGCTCTGCCCTATTATGTACATCTATTCGGGATAGGTTTTTAAACCTTTTTCAATGTATGTGTGTTTAGGTTTTTCAAAGCAAAATACTCATTAATTTAAAAAATATGTATAAAAGGGGAAATTATGAAGGAAGTTTTTGTATATATAATATTTATATGCTCTACATTTGTCTATATATTTTTAATTTACAAATTAGCAAAAACAAAAAAAAAAAAATATCGATTTAAAAAATACTATCGTAAACCAAAACTAATTTATACAAAAAGGAATTTTTTTTTACATATTTTTAAATACTTTTTCGAAATATACAACTGTGTGTTTGTGTATGTGCAATAACAACACAGCATATTGAAATATTTACAAGTGTTAGTAATAGCTCACTGCCAAAGAACAGTACACTTCGGTTTAGACATATTTACAACTTACTGACTAATGCAAAATACCAAAAATATTGTCGGTGTTAGTGAATTTAGTTACAGCTGGCTGCATTGCGGGACCTTACGCATTGCTTACTATAATTGTTATATATTATTTTTTATTTTATTTTGGTTTTGCTTTTAATTTTTGCTGCATACATTTTTACAAAGTTTTGTTGTTGTTTATTGCTTATAAAAAACTAAAATGCCAATATTAAAATAATAAGTTTGTGATAGTTGTAGAGAGTACGAGCAAAGAGAGTATGAGAGCGTGAAAGAGAGAGAGACTGGCGATTAGTGAATGAGTGTTTCATTTTGGTTTTTTTTTTTTTTTAGATTTTTTTTTCTGTACAAAAGGCCGACTTTTAGGCGTCAGCGCGCACTGGTTTGATGGTGTGTGTACGCATTGTGTTRAAAAAAAAAAAAAAAAAAATTTTATGAGGGTATTAAATCCAAGTTATGTGTTAAGTAATGTGTTAAAAAAATATATATTTTTTTATTTGACAAGCAAGGCGTGTTGTCGATGGTCAGCATAAAAACGACTAAATTCGAAAATACACAGTTTTGAGATTTCAAAAATTTCGAAAATTCAAAATTTCGAATATTCGCAAACTCAAAATTTCGAAAATTCTAAATTTCAAAAATACAAAATTTCGAAATTTCAGAAACACAAAGTTACGAAAATTCAAATTCGAAAAAAAAGGAAATGAAGAATGTTAAAATGTGATATATATTATAATCAGTTGCTGGCATATGTGAACCATGTGAGAATTGTCCCGTCCACAGTTCCCAATCTGAGACTAAACGGCATATAATTGTTTTGGAATCCAACAAAAAGAAAAATAAAAAAGTTATGTATGTAGATATTTTGAATTATATAATATTTATAACGTTTACGTTTGGTCATAAGCCAGCTCAGGTCTGCTATAAAATTGGTTTTGTTGTTGTATATGCACTGTTAATGAACACTAGGCTGCTATATTGAATTTTAACTCAAAATTTTAACTCGAAACAGGGGTAACTAAAGCGGGAAGCATGGGTGGTGGTGTTGTTCGCATGGATGTGGGAGCACATGGAGGTTGGTGGGAAGACACGTTGTTGAGGGGGGCGTGGTTGGGTGCACAGCGCAAACCAGTAAATGGTACTGTGTCGCTTTGTGTTCGTGTTCGCGTGTGTTTGTGTGTTAGTGTGTTTTTGAGCGTGTGTTTGTGTTGGTCGGTGTCATTTTTTTTGCTAAAAATTTCATTTTCATTGTTGTATTTCGAACGTTTCATGGTTTTTGTACAAACATGTTTTTAGTTTTTATTTTTTTTCTATGTGTTGCTTTTGCCAATTGCTAATCGAATTTGTTGTTGGCTTTACTTATCGCTATCGCGGCGCTTGATCCGGTATTTTGTGTATATGTGTGTGCTTCTTTAGCATTTATTATTGGGGTTAGGTTTTAGTATTAGCTCAATTTGATATTGTTGTTGTCTTTGCTGCTGCTGCTGCTACTAATACTGCTATTAATTTTCGCTACAATTTTGCACTCAACTTTTACTTGGTTAATTGCTGCGTAACATACATACATACATATGCATATGTATGGGTAATGTATGGCTATTTAGTACAACTGAGATTTTAAATTTTGCATTAAGTTATTACATAAGTGTAAAATTGATTACTAGGGAGCGGAAGGTGGTGGTTAGGATTCGATTAGATTGGTGGCTGGGACAAGGTTTATGGTGGAGTGGAGTTTTTACACCGGCAAAAAGATATTTAATGAACGATATTTTTAATATATTTCGACAGATTTGTAGATATCTAGTTTCAATGTGTTTTTATATTACTATAAGCATGTTTTTATTATTAATGATTTGTATTCTTTTATTTGTAAAAATAAAAAAATGTATACTTTTATTATTATAAAAAAAGTAAATAAAAAAAAATAATAATATAAACTCCTATATATTTTAAATCAAGTAAGCTCAGTCTCTAATTATATATATATAATTATATATAATATATGGTTCACATGAGAAGTGCACTCCTTGAGCGTTTACTATGTGATAATTTTATACTGTGTGGCAGCTTTTATTATATGGAACCTTTTAGTATCTGAAAACTTTCATTAGGTGAATACTTTAGATTTGTGCAATTCTTTCCTATCTGGTAGCTGAAAGCTGCAAACAGTTGCTACAAAAGCTTCAAGGAAATGCTATAAAATTGAGTTGTACGTATATGAAAGTACCAATTAAGTCAATTTTTTACTTTAAGAACGTGTCAGAAAGCTTAAATGTTTGAAAGAGCATATAGGAAACATATTAGCTAAACTTTGGTCTCTATAGCATAAAAACTCTGAAGGAGAAACTTTAATAAGCATATGTAACTAACTTAGCTCCTGAGTAATGGAAATTTCTTAAGATTCTGAGAAGTAAGCCTTTAGTTAAAGCTTTAAAGCATTTTTGTTGACATATAAGCTTTTTTGTTCTTTCTTATGAAACTTCAATATAAATTTTTAAAAATTCTTTTTTCTTGCTTAGGAAGCTTTAAAGCTATGTACGATGGTGACAAAGTTGCCTGTAGAGCCTTTAAGCTTTTCTGTTTTCGCTGCTACTCAAATATTATATTTTTTGAGACATAAAATCTTATCTCTTTTTTTCGGTATTATAACATATATATATTATTACATCCATATCAACTAAAGACATAAGCTCAACTTTCCATATTGAACGTCATTTAATTAAAGTATAGTAATAATTTTTACAAATACTCATTCATATCTTTTTAAACCATATGCACTATAAGGCTTGACCTAAAGTTAACAACAAAAGCTTTCGAAGCAGTAAGCTTTAAAAAGCACAATGGTATACTAGTATGCGTTTAAAATTACGGCATTAATTATCTTTCTTTATATATTGAAATCATATACCTTAAAAGCTTGAACTAAAGCTTCTAAAGAAAACTTTAGAAGCAGTAAGCTCTACTAAAAAGCTTAATGGCATCCATATGCGCTGAAAATTTTGTGATGATTTTTTTGATATGTTCTGAGCATAATTTGATTTACTGACGTGTTACTCGGAAATGTTCTAACCAATGATACTTTTGTATCACGGTTGTTTCTACGAGCATGAGTCTTAGGCATATAACTGCTTAAGTAGTATAAACTTGTAGTCGTTTCAATGAAGCGCGTTTATTTTGCTTACATTATGGTGTATGTATGTGTTGTAGCATGATCGGTTTTGGTTTTGGGATGGTATGGTATGGATTATGTTTAAGGTGTTTCGGGATAAGTTATAAAGGATGTTTGTATATGAGGTATGCTTGTGTAAGTGTATGCATGTATATTTGGTAAAGGATAACTGACTTTTATTACGTAACGATAAAATTTATGCATGTCTTATGTATTTGTAGCATATGTTCAACTACTTGTAGCTGCTTGAGTTAGAGGCCTACTGAATTATTATTATGTTCTCTCGTTTTTAAGCTAAACAAAAAACGATGTAAGCATGTAAATGTTATTTTTTATTTTGTATTCCAACTGTTTTCTTTTCTGTGTGTTGTTTTTTTTTTTGTTTTGCTTTTGATGTGGGTTTTATACCAATACAGTTGTGAATGTGTTAAACGACGAGTACTTATGTTGTAAGCAATTATAAAAATATATATAATATTATTTATATGTGTTACATGTCTGTAGGCACAGATTGGGATACCGCGATAGCGACAGCGACATTCCACGAACTTCCATATGCGTTAAATTTTGCTTTTTGATTTTGATAAATTTTGATTTTCAAGCGTTCGGTGTATTTTTTTCTTTGTATATATGAGTATATGTTCATATAAACTCACTTGAAACATGCATTTATGCATATAATATAGTATATTGGTCGTACGTATAGTTTAAATGCACTACAAGAGATGGTTTGCTTAGAAAAAATTGGCTAATATTATATAATAAAATAAAAATTCTTAAAAAAGTCAAATAAATATATAAATCAAAAAATTAAATGCAAATTAAAGAAAATATAAATAAATATTTACTATGCAATTAAGCTAGAAAAAATGCATAGCCTATGCAAAAAACATTTTTTTTTGTTAAATTTCGGAAAAAAAAAGTTTAAAGAAAATCTTGAAAAAATTAAAAAAAATTCTTAAAAAAAATTCTTTGAAAAAAAATATTAAAAAAATATTCTTAAAAAAAGTAATAAGACTGTAAAAAATTTACCTGAGTGCATGTTTTTGTCATAAAATCTTTATTTTTTGCTACAGACATATTTTTTAAATTTTTTTCTTTACATATTTACTTTTCTAGGACACTGTACACATTGCTGTGGAGTATTGTTTATGAATATGTTCTGTAAGTGTGTGTGTGTGTGAAACGTTAAAAATGTCTTAAAACCCCCAATAACTAAATTTGGTATTAAACTCAAAGTATAAAATTGTATTTACACACACTACACTGTGAAAAATATTTTCTTAATAACAAGTGTTAACCGCAAAAAACGTGTGTTTGTTTACTTTTTGCTGTGTCAAAGGTTAAATTCAAACTCTGCAAACAATTATGTATTTGTTGCAAAATACTTAATGCTCCACTAAAAGTATTATTATTATTTATTATGCTGTTTTAAATTATTAAAAACAATTGTTAAACTATTGTTGCAAATATTTGCACAGTTGGGGTTAATTAATTGATATTAAATATTTAAATGCTGATAACGAAATTTCTTTATTATCAAGTTGCATTAGCAAACATAAAACTCAACTCAAACAATTGTTACGCACAAAATTAATTATTTATATTTTATGTGTTTTTTTTTGGGGGTATTATACTATATGTGGTATTAGACTCAGTTCTCAAGTTTTTAATTTGCACTAAAAAAAAGTTAAACAAACAAAAAATAAGTGAGGCTAAACTAAAAAATCTGCAACTGAAAAATTATTCAACTAAACTCGCTAAGTTTGCTAAACATTTTTGGTTATTGGTTGATCATTCGAAATTATAAAATTTATATGTTTTAATTGAGAGGGAAAATGGCGGTACTTACCGTGCCGGCAGACGTAGTCGACGCCTTGGCGCACGCATTCACCCGTAATGCAACCCTGCGTGCGACAGTCCTCTTGTGGTGGGGTTAGGTAACCTATGGGTTGTTGAGAAAGTGAGAAAAGTGTTAAGCAAAAAGGAAAATTAAAAAAATCGGGAAACTGGTATTATATACTAAAAACTATCATTTTTTAAGTTTTGCGCTCAGAATTTTCGAGCTAATTTGTTTATAACACTTTTTAATCAAATAAAAAAAAAACCTTGCATACATCCAGGCGGATGTGATAATAAATAATATGTTGAGAGCATACACTTAAATTCCACACATTCAATGCCTACATGCATGCGCAATATCGTAAACGGTATTGCCTTTTTCCAAAATTTTGTATGGTTGGTTAAGCAACTTTCATGAAACTCTTTCAAAAATGTTTGAAACATTTTAAACATTTTTTACAAGAAGAAGCAGAATCAAMTCCTACTAAAAAAGCACTTCCACCAGTGACAAAAACACTTTCGATTTTTTAATAATTTTCYAATTAATTAATGGAGGCTTTCTGTTCCTCAATATTTGCTATGTGTAACCTTAATCCGCTTCGCGCTCCCAAAAATATACTTACATTCTACATAAGCATCACCGTAAGGGAATTCTGCTGGGCAATAACATTGCGCTTCATTATGATCCAAGACGCGGCAAGCAGCATTTTGTCCACATGGTTGTTCAGCGCACGCATTCACCAGATGTCCCTCGCAGACGCAACCCTTGTGCGCATCGCCCATACAACCGTCCATGCAGGCGCACTCATAACCGCCAGGTACCTCAGTACATTTGGAATTAGCGCCACACGGATGATTTGCGCACCCGCCATCGAGTGGACGGCACTCAGTTTCGGGTGTGCCAAAGTAGTCGGGTGGGCATGAGCATTGTGGCTTGCGATCCACGACACGGCATTGTGCGTTAACACCACACGCGCCATATTCCGAGCACGGGTTGCGACATTTACCCGCATCACAACGTTTATTCGGTTCACAGTCGTTATCCTGAGCACATTCAAATTGTACGCATTCCGTGCTGGGTTCACCTTCGTAGCCATCGGGACAATAGCACAGCATGCGATGATCGGATACAGTGCAGAGCGCATTACGGCCGCAAGCAGACTTATCTGCGCACGGATCGGCGCATTTACCTTTGATACAGCTTTGATCGGTAGGACAATCGGCGTTGGCTTTGCAGCCAGCCAGGCATGTGCCGCGTTCGCAGAGTTGTCCCAGTGGACAATTGCGGCCGGCGCCACACTTTTGGCGACATTTACCACGTGTGCAAACTTGTCCGCAAGCGCAGTCTTCGGTGCGCGCACATGCGTCGGCGCAGTACGTATTTGTTTCGTCACACTGACAGTTGGGATTGCAGCGTTGTGGTGGCTGCTGACAGCCACTAAGTCCATCGCCAAGGAAACCATTCGGGCAGCTACACTGCACACCATGATTGACCACCAAACAGTTGGCGCACTGACCACATTGACCAGGTGCCTCGCAGGGATTCTTGCACTTCTTGTTGACGCACGCCTCACTGCTGGGGCAGGTGAGATCGTTGCGGCAACCAATTTGGCATACACGATTTTCGCAAATCTGTCCTTGTGTGCAAGCGGAGTCCGTGTTGCAAACGGTGCGACAAGTACCGCGCATGCAACGCTCATCGGCCAAGCAGTTTTGATCATTGCGGCATTTACCTTGACAGCTGCCACCATAGCAGAGTTGATTTCCTTCGCAGTCCTCGTTACGCGCACAAGCGGTACGTGGCGCTTTACACGACACCTCTGCGTTGCCGATCAGACCTTGTGGGCATGTGCATTGCTTGCGATGTTCAATCACCAAACATTCGGCATTTGTGCCACATGCAGCGGGCTCGGCGCAAGGATTGATACACTGTTGATTTACACATGTTAGATCCTGTGGGCAGCCTTGATCCGAGCGGCAACCAGCTACGCAACTTAGTCCCAAACATACTTCGCTGCCGCGACAATCGTCGTCACGTCGACAAAGCGGTTTGCAAACGCCACCTTGACAGCGTTCATTCGTAAGACAACCGGCGTTATCAGCACACAGTGAACGGCATGCAAATTCAAAGCAAGCCAAACCATTCGGACAGTCACGATTCTCATTACAATCGAGCGGTGGACTGCGCACACAACCGACTTGCGGTGTTGGATTCGGTACCATACCATCCAGACAGCTGCAAATAGCACGATGATTCGATACGGAGCAGGCAGCGTTGGGACCACAAGGATTATCCAGGCAGGGATTGATGCACTTATCATGACGACAGGACTCGGATCCGCTACAATCATCGTCGGTACGACAACCATAAACGCATTTATTATGTAGACAAACATGTCCCAGGAAGCAGTCGTTGTCCACGCGGCAGGTTACTGTAAATTGAGTAGAATGTGAAAATTGAATTCCCGCTTCATTTTAAAAGACTCATGTTGAATTTCATTGTCACGCGGATACTTACGCATACAGCTACCGCGTAGACACTTCTCATTCAGGGCACAATCCTGGTCGCTATGACAAGCGGGCTGGCACATTGAGTCGTGACAGTTATAGCCTTCGTGGCATTCCACATCGCTATTACAAGCCACCGGTATGCGCACACATTCCACCTCCGGATTGCCAGTGAAACCAGCTGGACAGGTGCATTGTTTGTAGTGCGTCTGTATGTGGCATTCAGCATTCATGCCGCAAGCTTGCGCCTGCAGGCAGGGATTCACGCATTGACCACCTTGGCATACTTCCGTAGTGCCACATTCGGTGTCGAGTATGCAGGCAGCTGTAATACAGTGGATTTAACAGATTATTGAAGCTTAGAAACAAAATCTAGGAATTATGTAGTTGTGCGTTTGTCGTCGAGTTCTTATTTTAGGTTATTTCGTTTATTGTTTTAACTCTTGTTACACAGGCCGTGTCGTTTGTCTACTAATTTGAGATATAATTTTTAATTAACTGTTTATTCTATAACCCTGGAGATTTGAATTTGGACTAAAGTTTCTCTGCTCAGCCCACAGGCAGGTCGAATGTCTTAGTTAATATTAATGTTAAAACATCTGGCGCGGATATAGGAAGGTTAACTTGATCAAAGCACTTAACATCGAGAAGTTTCGCGAAAATTAAACCTAAAGTTCAAAAGCTGTTGAGTTTACGGTCCCAGGGGTTTGAGGTGCCAGATTTTCATATTTTCAAGACTTTGACGTCGAGAAGTTTGGAGAAAATGTTATCTAAAATTTAAAAGCTTTTGAGTTTACGGTGTAAATGCTTTGAGGTACCAGATTTTTGTAGCATTTTTCAAGCTTTTGACGTCGATAAGTTTTGTCAGATTTTCAGATTTTCAGAAGTTTTCAAGCTTTCGACCACGTGAAGTTTTGCGAAAATTTAATCCAAAATTCAAAAGCTATTGAGGTTTCGGTCCAAGGGCTTTGAGATACTAGATTTTCAAAAGATTTAAGTATATTTTGCTATTAGATCCTGTGATCATTAATTAATAGACCTCAAAAGTCCGATTCATCTGAGCATCATTACTCGTTTAATCTAATTATTAATTGATTCCCCATTCGTTTCCTCGTTTTTTTCTGAAAGTCCCAAAACATATTAGGTTTAACTTCACCAGGGTCTAAACTATACTACGTTATAGGCGTGTCAGTAGTTTCACATATCCTGCACACAATGTTTTTAGGCATTACACGAACCCCTGTGCGTATCATTTTATTGGTTAAGTAGGGTAGTAGGTTGTGTAATAAGGTAACTACGGAGTTAGCTCACTAAATGGGTTACACTAGGATATCAATTTTGTTGTTTAGCTTTTATTATTTTGTTTTCAAAAACTAAACCGTACCGTTATTAGCGTACATTAACTTTAACTTTATGTTGTTGTTGGGTGTTTTGGTACCTTTTCATGTTAGTACTTACGTTTACAAATACTATCCGAACAGTAGGTATTGGTCGGGCAGTCGCTGGTCATTTGACATGGTACGGGTAGTGGCTTACAACCGGCAATCCGATCAGCGGGATTACCATCGTAACCATTACGGCATGCACAATGAGCTTGATGACCCTTAGGTATACATTCGGCATTCGTACCACATTTAACATTCGCACAAACATCTTGACATTTGGATATACCGTTAATTTTGGTGCATTCAGCATGCGGGGGACAATCTTCGCTAGTTTCACACTCCACCGCGGTGCGACAACCTTCATTGTAGGGATCACCAACCAAACCGGGAGGGCAAGTACATTTAAATGAACCACGCGAATTGCGGCAACGTGCGCCCGGACCGCACGGAGCATCCTTACAAAAGTCGACAACGTCACAACGTACGCGCGGATCACCGGTAAAGCCAGGCTGACAGTGACAGACTTGTTTATGATTTTCCGTAGTACATAGGGCATTCTCACCACACGGTTCGCCGATAAGGCAAGCTATTTTACACATATGATCATCACATGTTTTATCGTTGGAGCACTCAGCGTCCGCAGAGCATTCAATCTTTCGACAGCCACTCTTCGGATCACCGAAGAATCCCTCCTTGCATTCACAATCAGGCGCGTGGCTACGTGCTATACACTCAGCATTGCGTCCGCAAAGAGCTCGACCCAGACAAACATTCTCGCATGAAGCGCGTCCATAGGTATCCTGTATACAGTTCTCGTTCACATCACAGTCGTCGTCGTTGTGACAAAGCACCTCCTTGGTGCAAATGCTATTGTGACAATATTGGAATTCGGGGCATGATGAGTTCGAACGGCATGTTGGCTGACAAACGCCTTGTATGCACAATTGATCCGAGATGCAATCACGCACGGAACTACAGAGCGAAGCGCAGATGCCGTTGGTACATATTGTGCCCGAAGCACACTGACTGTCTGTGTTGCAGTATTGTAGCGCGACACAGCCGAGTTGTGCATCGCCCGTTGTGCCACTTTCACAGGTACAAACACCGATATGATTCTGGGCAGTGCAACGCGCATTAGTGCCACAAACATTTGGCAGAGCGCAGGGATCGATACATTTGGAGTCCATGCAGGCTTTCTCATTGGCACAGTCCTCGTTTTCCGAGCACTCGATGTAGACGCATTCAATAGATGGATCACCACGTGAATTGGGTGGACAAGCGCAAATGGCATTATGTGATTGAGCCAAACAGGTGGCATTACGACCGCAGGCATTCTCGCGTTCACAAGGGCTACGACAGCGTGCATTTTGACAACTTGCGCTTGAAGGACAATCTGAGTCGGTGAGACATTCGTTGGGATCGCGACAACCCACATTAATTGGATCGCCTATAAGACCTTCCGGACATTGGCATTGGTATGTACCGGGTTGATTTTCGCAGAAAGCTGTACTGTGGCAAGGTTGGGAGAGACATTCGTTGATATCTTCGCAGATATTGTTTACGAGCTGGTAACCTTCGTAGCAAGTACATAAAGCTTGATGATTTGCAACACTACAACTGCCTTTGCCGCATGAAATAAGATCGCATGGTTTGATGCAACGATTAGTCTCGTCATCGCAAGCCTTATCGCTGGCACAGTCCTCATTTACGATACATTCGACCTTGAAGCAGCCGACTGTATGCTCGCTGGCATCACCCAAATGTCCGGGTGGGCAATAACAAGAAGCTTGATGATTTTCTGCATTGCAAAGCGCATTCGGTCCACAAGTGGTGTTGCTGCAGGGCTCTGTACACTTATCACTAACGCAGGCTAGATTGTTCGCGCAATCGTCATCCTTATAACATTCCTTCGGTTTAATACAACCTTGTTGAGTGAGACCATCACCCACTGTACCTTCGGGGCAAATACAGCGATAAGACCCGGGAAGGTTCTCGCAACGTGCTGTTGGATGACAAGGCTCCTCAGTACATTCATCGATATCTGAACAACCGAATGGTGTGCCAATAAAACCGGCAGCACATTTGCATTTACCGCTGAGACAGAGCTCTGTAGGTGGACAATCAGCATCGGAGTCACAGCCAGGTTGACAAGTGCCGTCATTATTACAAATTTCACCAGGCAAACAGTTGTTGCTTGTGTAACAAACTTTGCGACAAACATTCTGGTAGCAACGTTCGCCGATTGCGCAAGCCGTTGTCTTCTGACATGGCAAATTACATTGGTTGCCGATACACATGTGGCTGCTTGGGCATTGATTGGTAGCCATGCATGGCGCCGGTACACGTACACAACCTTGCTCCGGTGTGGGATTACCCTCGAATCCTTCGGGACAAGTGCACTGACTGAGATGTTTGTCGATGCTGCAGAGCGCATTGGGACCGCAGATACCGCCTGTCTTGCAGGGATCGGCACATTTATTGTTAATGCAAGATTGATCCGATGGGCAATCCTTATTGCTGCGACAGCCAAGAACGCAAAGGCCATCCAAGCAGGCCAAACCTGATGTACACTGACTATGGTCCAGACAAGGTATCACACAAATATTGCTCAAACATTTTTCACCTACCGAACAATCATCTGAATTACGGCAAGCTACGCGACATTGTCCATTGTAGCAAATTTCACCGCCACAGTCGATGTCAGACCTACATCTAGACACTGAACGTACACATCCTTCTTTAGGTGATTCACCGTTTTGTTGGAATTTCAATGGGCAACTGCAAACTGGTTTGCGATTAACCACCTTACATTCCGAGTTCTGACCGCAAGCATTCTCACAGGGATCAATGCAACGACCACCAGCGCAAATGGTATTCGCTGGACAATCGGCATCGCCATTTGGACATTGGCCAACTGGACGACAGCCGGTTGTTCCGGGTTCGCCAAGAAAGTTTTCGGGACAGCGGCACGTTGGTCCAGTTGGTGTGACCTCACAAATGGCAGAGTGATGACATGTGCCGGGCTGACAGCCGCTAACTTTTGTGCATTCCACTTCGGGCATGGGATTTCCTTTAAAGCCAGGTGGACATTGACATACGGCACGATGATCTTCAGCAATACAAATGGCGTTCTCTCCACAGGATTCGTCATCGCAGACATCGTAGCAGGTATGTGTCATACGGTTACACATTTTGGTTGGAGGACAATCGTGATTGTAGACACATGGTACGCTCTGACAGCCATTGAATGGATCATTTGGATCACCGGCATATGGTCCTGGTGGACATTGGCACTGAGACATGTGATTATTAGTGATGCATACGGCACGAGGACCGCATTTAACACTCTCACAAGCTGGTCGACAAGTCAGACTCTCTGTAGGTCCATATTTTACACATGCTTCCGATTCGGCACATTCAGCATTGGTGCGACATTGATTCTTTGTCACAGGCTGGCAGCCATTTCGATCGTTTGGATTGCCAACGTAGCCCGTTAGACAATCACAGCGTCCTTCGTGATTACGCGCTACACAAACCGAATTGGCCGGACATGTAAATTCATCGCAGATTGAGACACACTTGAGTACACCGACTACGTCGGGTCTACAGGCGGAAGCAGCTGGGCAGTCCGTATCACTAGTACAGTCAGGCAGTGAAGGCTTTTCACAAGATGAAGTGACGGGATTCCAAACAAAGCTATCGGCGCAGTTGCATAGCGCATGTCCATTCGCATCAATGTGGCACACTTCATTCGTGCCACAAACGACCTTCGAGCAACGGTTGATGCATTCTTTGGTGCCGTGCATGTCAGGTGTACACGAGTAGCCCGTTTCACAGTCATTGTCCGATTTGCATTTATCCTCTTCATCTGGAACTTTTCGTTCGGGTTGGCAACCCACTTGTAGATTGCTTGGATTGCCGAAATAGCCATCAGTGCAGATACAAGATGAACGATGATCGTTTGACACGCAAAGCGCATTCGGACCGCACTGTATTTTTGAGCAGGCATCAACACATTTGCGCAAACCTTTGCCCAATTGGAAGCAAATTTCCGAGAGCTTACAATCGGCATCGTTGTTACATTGTCCGCGGATGGTGCAACCACTAGTGGTGTCGTATGGATCCCCAATATAACCGAGTGGACAAATACACTTACCGCCATCGCAGGCGGCTCTTGGGCCGCAGGCAGTCTTTGAACATAGATTCTTGCACTTACCGCTCTCACAAGTGTAGCCATCGGGGCATTCGACGCGTGCGTTACATTCGCATCTATCAGCATCATTACAGAAGGTAGTATCGACAGGTTGGCAGCTACTGAACGGATCACCAGCGAATCCGGATAGGCAGAGACACTCGAATCCTCCGTGTGTATTGAGACAGGCTGCATTGAGACCACAAGGTTTGTTTACACACTCATCTACATCGAGGCAGCCCACGTAGGCGTTACCCGTGAACCCTTGTGGGCAGATACAACTGATTTGTTGGCCATCAGCACGACATTCAGCATTCGTACCGCAACTATTGGGTGCGCATATATTCTTGTTTTGTGGACCACAACCTTCGTAGGGGTTGCCCGTTGTGCCGGGGTTGCAAGCGCATACGCTGCTGCCGAAACCATACTCACAGTGCGCATTGTCACCGCACTTCGGTTCACATTCAGCATATTTAACAGGTGGTACACACACGAGATCCGGATTGCCAATAAAGTTGGGTTCACAAACACATTTGCCGCTATTCCTGTCACAAGTGGCACCAATGCCGCATACCACGCCGTCACAGCGTTCCTTACAGCGCCCATTGATACAAACTTGACGCTCAGCACATGGACGTGAGGCACTACATTGGTCCGTTGAGCAGGAGCCACCTGGGAATGGATTGCCGAAGGAACCTTGTGGACATTTACACGTTGGTCCCTCTGCCGTTGGTATGCAAAGCGCACTTTCTCCACAAATAATATCCTTACATTGTGATACACAATCGCCGTTTTGATCTTTACTATAGCCGACGCGACAACGACACCAGCCGGCATGGTTTTCAGTCTCACAGAATGCATTGGGTCCACAAAGTAAGCTGGAGCATGGCGACACACAAGTGCCTTCAACGCAAGCCAAATTGCTTGCACAGTCTTCGTTGGCAGTGCATTTACTCTTCGGTACGCCGGTCTCCAGTATGCAACCGCTCTTGTATGGATCACCTGTAAAGCCTTTCGGGCAAACACACTGATAACCGCCCTTCTTATTAACACAGTAAGCGCCATAAGCGCAAGGCAAGTGTGCACATTCATCCTCATCGGTACAACCCATAAGCGGATCACCTTTGAAACCCGGTTCACACATACATTGTGGCGGATCGGTTGGTGTGCACTTGGCGTTGATGCCGCAGGGGAAGCGTTCGCAAGGACTTTTACACTTATTATTGTCGTAGGGATCCAAGAAGAATGGTGGTGGACAGACACACTCGCCAGGTTGTACGCATTTCTCATTCGTGCCACATTCCTTATCGGCAGCGCATTTACGTTGCGCTGGCGCACAGAGTCCATGGTAAGGGTCGCCGTTATAGCCCTCAGGGCATGCACACGTGAAACCGCCAGGTATATTAATACATTCAGCGCCAAAAGCGCACACTTGCGAATCACGCTCCACACATTCGTTCACATCAACACATGAACCATCGGGTCCGGTCTTATAGCCTTTCGGGCAGGCACAGTAACTAACGCCACCAGCGATTGAAATACATTCAGCACCGTTCGGACATTTCTTATCCTTTGAGCAATCGGCGAGTATACAACTGTTGCCAACCAACTTGTAGGGTGGTTGACATTGACATTCCGGTGACTTGCATTGCTCGCACATAACGAACGGATTACCGCTAAAACCTTGTGGACATTTACATTCATAACTACCGGGTAGATTTTTACAAAGCGCATTAAGGCCACAAGCCGCCTTCTGACGATTCGCGGAACACTCATCCACATCCTGGCAAAGACCTGACTCTGCATTACGTTCGTAGCCTTGACGACAAATACACACACCACTACCGGTATATGAGTCTGTGACGCAGGTTTCACCCGGCGAGCAGGGATTCGAGTCGGAACAAGTGAATGCGACTTTTCCTGCGGTGCAGCCCTCACGATAGGGATCACCGCTTGCGCCACTTGGACACTGGCAAAGATAACCACCAGCTGTATTGGTACAGATAGCATTCGCTTGACATGGATTCGTCTTACATTCGTCGAYGTCATTACAACCGCCGGGTGTATTGGGGCTACCCGTATAACCCTCGACACACAAGCACTGCGCTTGGCCATTGGCCAACATGCATTGTGCATGTGCGCCGCAATTAACCGCTTCACAAGGATGACGACAATCATTGCCGATATTGGGCTGTGGACATAGACAACGTTTTTCCGCATCGCAAATTGCATTGCCGGGACAGTCGTTGTTTGAGGCGCACGTAACAATTGGTACGCAACGCACTGTGGGATCTGGATCAGCGATCGTATCAGCTGGACAACGGCATGTATAGCCGCCATTCATATTAACACATTCCGCGCCTTCACCACACTTATTGCCCACGCGACATTCATCCACGTCGACGCATTTGGCATGCGGATCGCCGGAAAAGCCTGATGGACAGGCACAACTAAAGCTACCCAACGTATTCGTGCACGTCGCATTGACGCCACAACTGCCAAACGGACCATGTACCGCATCACACTCGTCAATATCCACACAACCAGCTGAGATGTCACTGGGATTGAAAGTCCAACCGTCTTCGCAAATACAATAAGCCTCATTGCCATCTGGCTTGCAGTAGGCATGCTCGCCACAATGCACATCCTCACAGGGTTCCTTACAGGCTATGCGCGGCGGTGTGCCCACAAAGCCAGCCTCACAATCGCATCGGAAAGAGCCGGGCGTATTTATACATTGTGCGTGCACGCCACAGGCGTCCGCATGCGTGCGACATTCATCGATGTCCACACAACTGGAGCCAATCGGTTCGAAGCCATCCAAACAGAAACATTGATTCTCAATACATTCAGCATTGTTGGTGCAATCGAAACTGCTGCGACAAAGTATATTCACATCGACCTGTTCGCAGGCCACTTTCGGGTCTGGCTTTCCATCGAAGCCCTGTGGACACTTACAATTATAGCCAGGTACGGCATTTTCGCATATGGCATGGGTGCCGCAGGGTTTCTCCAGTGCAGTGCACTCATCGATGTCCGTGCAGCCGCGGAAGGGATCACCGGTGTAGTCTGTTTTACAGGTGCAGACAAAGCTACCGACGGTATCGGTGCAGATCGCGTTCTCGCCACAAGGATTGTCCTGGCACTCGTTGATGTCTAAAGTGCGCGCGAAAACGGGTGCGTATCAAATTTGTGTAATGTGACGTTGTCGTTGCACGTGCGGAGTGGTGCAAAAGTATTGATTCAAACGTTAAATTCGGTTGATTTGGTGGTTCGCGTGGTGTTATTACCGTTTCCGGTTCGGTTTGGTTGGTTGGATTGGGTTTCAAGGTAGTTGGATGGTAGGCGTTGATTGCAGTGATGGTATTGGTTGGTGTTGTTTTTTTGTTTTTTGGTTCATAGTGGTTGTGGTGGTGGTGGTGTTGTTGGGAGAAGGTTGTTAAATTAGTTCAAAATTAAACAAAGAACAAATATACTTGGTTACAATGTATTCATGAATGTAATGAGTTTGATGTAAATAATATATGGGAAATGTATGTGTAGGAATAGCGTGAAAATAGGCAGTAGAGACGTGCGAAAACTGAAACGAAAACTACGAAAAAGCTGTCGCAAAACTAGAGTTTTAGTTGAATGCAATGCAACTCTTGAATAGAATGAGAGTAATAGCAGTTAAGAAAGCTTCAAAAGCAAGCGCGCTATGAAAGCTTTTGTAAGTTTTAGCAAAGTGTAGAGTTGTTGGAAGTTTTCCCAGCAAAACTTTCGATAAAAAGCTTTCACTGTATGAAGCTTTAAGCACTGTTTACAGTTTCACGAAGATATACGAAGTTTTAGAGCTCTCGTGAACAAATATTGTAGTTGGTGATTAGAGCTTTTAGTTCAATCGTGAACAAATTATCTTGTTGGTGATTAGAGTTTTCAATACATAACTTTGAGAACTTTTCTCTTAGAAAAGGATATCATCTATTGTTTTTTGTTCATATTATTTGATAGAAGGTCTGACGACGATAACATCTACTGTTTTTTCGTTCTCTTCATTTCATATTTTGACAAACTTGAGGCTTGTTAAGATTTCCAAGCTGTATATTTGTATATTATTACAAATTTTTAAGAAGTTTCATTAAATGTTGAAAACAGCTCCAATGAAGTATCGTTTTCATCGTTTATCTCTACTTTAGAGGTATATCAACCATGAAAGCACGAATTGAAGTTCAGAATGAAAGCTTTGCGAAAGCTCAAATAGTTCCATATACCCAACGCAGTAATATTATCGTAATTTTGTTTCAAGGTAATGAAAAGCTCATACGTTAGCATTCTCTTTATCAGAGCCGAAGAGAGGAGAAAGGAAGAACAGAGCTTTTACCGTACGAACTGCAACATTTTTGAAAGCCTTAAGAGACCTAATGAGACTTTTTACACTACGAACTGAGAAAGTGTTTGAAAGCTTTAAGAAATTGATAGTCGATGTCGAAAAGCTTAATAACGCACGTCTGCTCAAGTTTGTATTACAAACTGAAAGCTTTTATTGTTGAAAATATTTTTTGTGTGTCATTGAAAGCTTTTAGTTTGCTGGGAAGCAAGTTGTGAAAAGTGTTAAAAGTGTAAGAAAGAATTTAAAGTTTGCGGTGTTTGTTTAAAGCATCGCATTAGAAGCTTGTAGTGTGATGCGTAAAAAGCTTGCAAGCATTTCGCTCGAACGTATTTATTTGAATTTTGAAAACGCCTAAAAGCTTTTTTGTTTGGCGTAAGCTTTGACAATTTTAATTCAGATTAATTTGTGAGCTTTCATGCAAAGCTTGCAAGCATTTATATGCAAAAGCTTACTACTATACAAATACTACAATAAGCGATACTAACTTTCACAATGCAAATACCCCTGTCCTTGGAAGCCGCTCGGGCATAAGCAACGATATGAGCCCGGAAAGTTAATGCATTTTGCGTTCGTGCCACACTTGGCCACACCATTATCCATATTACATTCATCTATATCGACACAAGCTAAACCGGCGCCGGTAACCCTTAGTGTTGTGCCATTGCCGCCATAGATGCCGCCGCCRCCCAGACTATACTCCCGTTCGAATTCGAGCGCATAGCCGGGCGGACAATGGCACGCAAAGCTACCGCCAATATTCACGCATTCAGCACCCAAACCGCATGGATTGTTAGTGGAGCACTCGTCGACGTCTACGCGATGTTGATACGAATGAGCACGAGTGGTAAATGTGGATGGAGACGCCGTCGATATTTTTGGCATGTGCGTGCGGTGCGTTTATGTATGGGGTGTTCGGGTTAAATAAATTTCGATTTTGCCACAAATGTGATTTTATTTTGTTTATTATTGTTGGCGTTTTAGTTGTTAAATGCATTTTGCGTGTTGTTGTTGTGGTTATGTTTATTTTTTTAGTTTTTCGTATGTGTGTGCAAAAACAATTCGAGTTGTGAATTTATGGTTTTGTGCCACCGTTGTTAACAAAAAGTGTGTTGTTGTTGTTTGAGTATTTTATATCGAATTTGGTGTTGTATGCGCGTGAAAGTGCAATGGTTAAATTATTTTTGTTTTGATTTTTCCGTGAGGGATGCAAATACATAAAAAAAGAATAACAAATGATTACCATATACTTAGTCTTGAGATTTCATTCAAGAAAAGCGTAGCTGCTATTTTTCGATTTCTCGACACTTACCTTCACAACCTTGACTGGGATCACCCGCGTAGCCATCGGGACAAATACATTTGAAGCTACCGTCCGTATTCAGGCATTGCGCATTACGGCCGCATGGCGAACGCGCACATTCATCATAGTCGGCACAGCCGTTGGCGGAGCGCGCATCACCGTCGTAACCTTCCGGGCAGTCGCAGCGATAACCGCCCTCGAGGTTCGTACAGATGGCGCCTGGACCGCAGGCATTCGGATGTGTGCACTCGTCGATGTCCGTACAGCTGTAATATGGATCGCCATGGTAGCCTTCGGGACATGCGCAGGTGTAATTGCCAGGTGTGTTGATGCATTGCGCACCCGTGCCGCAGGCAGTCGGACTTCGGCACTCGTCGAGGTCTAAGGAGTTAAAAAAGTGATAATATGAGACTCAAATTGCAAAAGAAATTAAAAAATGGTTTTATAGGAAAAAAGTTTTTATAGAAATAAGCTTAAAGAAGAGCTTAAGATAAAAAAATATTTATATTTCATAAAAAATGAAAACTATTTAAATACATAAAAAATTTGTAGTTTACGTACAATTTGATAAAATACGTATGTACTAGCTAAACCTGTAAACAATGATATACCGATGATATWTATATATTTATCGATAAAAACGGAAGCTTTTTATAATAATAAATGAGTTAAAGCCAAAATTTATCGATAAAAATCGATAACATTTTAATAATAAAAAGTCCTAACAAATTTAGTATAAAATATCTCGTACTTAAATATAATTTAACTAGGTACCTATGAGTTTAATGATTTAGCCATATATAAAGTAAGATCGACAAATCGATCATTTTACTGTAAATTATCAGTTATCAATGCAAGCAAATAAATCATCGTGGTAAAATGAAAGAAAATTTTGGAAGAAATGAAAAACCTAAGGTTTTCTTTTCAGAAGTCACTACTAGTATTTTTAAAATAAGTCGTAAGTTATCTATAATATGAAAAGTGTAATGCGGTTTTATATTGAGTTCATAAGGTAATTGTATATAAGTTTCAAGAAATATTTACACTAATATCTTTCTTCTGATTCGATTTGAAATACATCGACAAATTAATTATATTGATAAACATATATTTAATTATGATGCTGAACATGCAGCTATACTTTTAACACAATAGTTTCAAGCTGATAAAAGGAAAAGTAAATTATGAAAAATTCAATAAATTAAGTAAATTTAATTAATCGATAAATACTCTGTATTAAAAAACAAAACTAGACTAAATTTATTTATTAGAAATTTCTAAATTGGGTATTAGTTATCAATAAATGATTAACGAAATTTTGGTATGCAGTTATCGGTAATTTTAGTTCAAAAAACAAAAAAAAAAAAAAAAAAAAAAAAAAAAATTAAAAAAAAAAAAAAAAAAAAAAAAAAAAAAAAAAAAAAAAAATTTGCAAAAAGTGTGTAACTATTTTAGTTTCTTTCGTTGTGACAGCTATCTTTGGAAAAAATCGATAACTAACAATTTCGATAACCGATACATAACCGATTAATATATAATGGAGGTTGAAATTTTAACGGAAATAATTAATAATTCAAACATTTTGATAGCTAACTTATTTTAAAAAGAAATCGATAACTAATAATTTCGATAATGAAATGTTAAATTTTAATGGAAAGTAACAATTGCTCACAAATTTTGTGACTGAAGCAGTATTACGTACTCTATTTCGTGGCAGGGAAAAGGAAGGTTTTTAAAAACTGCATTTATCTAATATTTTTCGATTTCTGGAAAACAGTATTTCCGAAGCATATAAATGCTTTTTTGTGGTACTAAAATGTTCTCAACAGGTATAGAACAATTAAATTATATATTTCCTTGAAAACGCGGATGATATCACTCTAAGCCGCAAAGTTTTCATATAACCTTGGAATCTAACCTATACCTTTACGCATACCGCAACAAATTCTATTTGATATGCAACAAACAAACATTAAAAATAAATAAAGTATCACTACCCGTACCTAATTTTCTTATATTTTCAGACTAAATAATAATTTATTGCCAAACAATACTCGCCACAAACTTACCTCTTCCTGTTACTCACTAATTTTTATTGTTTTTTTTTTTTATATGAAAAGGGTTATAAAAAAAGTGTTAAGTTCTTACTTTGACAACCTAGGCACCGAAAGCGTTTTAGGTTAATTCAGACTTACCTGTGCACAGCACCTCGCCGTCGCCTTCATAGCCGTCCCTACATTTGCAGAGATAATGCGCTGGCAGATTGCAGCACTCGGCGTTCTCGACGCAACGCGCTCTTATCGTAGGATCTTGGCATTCGTCGATATCTATTCGCGTGTGTGTGTGTGAGTGTGTGGCATATATGTAAGGAGAAGAAGCAATGTGATGAAGCAAAAATATTAGAGGATTAAGGCGTAGCAAATCTTTATAAATATGACGTATGTTGTGTGTATGTTGCTCTTTGTATGTGTGTTTGTGTGAGTGGGTTAAGGGTTTAGGCATCTTAATTGAACGCTTCAATGAATTGATTAATGTTATGAATGCCAAGGTCGGCATTTTTTATAGTTCTCCTAATTATTTTCTTTTTTATTTCTTCTAACTAATAAATTAACGTTGAAAAGTGCGTCCATCACTTTGGACAACAACGAATGAGCACACATATGTGTATASGTTGGCAACTCGTCTGTAACTCTCTTATTTACGCACCATTGCAAAACGAAAGACTTAAGCGACAAACGTGTTCTGCCGTCTGCCTTTGAGTTTTGCCGCCATGGCCTTGTTGTTACGCAGTTTGCATGCATCACCGCCAGCTAATGCGTATGTTGCACTTTATGCGCCCTGCAACAACAATAAACCACGCGTTTCGGTGTGTGCTTGCAGCTAGTATGTTCCGCATGCGTAATTGCCGCTAACTTTGGCCTGTCAGCGCATCATTATTTGGCATTGATCATGCTAATTGAAGGTAATTTCTTAATTTTTTCCATTTTTTCATAGTTTTTTGTTATTTGCTTGTTTTTTTTTTTGTGCAATTTGTATATGTTGATTTGTGCGCTGACATTTCATTGTCATGTTGTGGCAAATGCGGCGGCAGTGTTGCATGCTTGCATATGCAATGTCAGTGGCGCGTGAATTTATGCAAATTGCAGCAAACAATAAATTGAGAAAATATTATAAAATGCACCGTTTTGACATGCGGTTCAAGGCTATAAGGTGGTATTGCAACTGATTTGTTTTCAAATCACTTTTTATGTGTTTATTTGAAAATTAAGAACTTTATTTTTATTATTAGGTAT